ACTTTGTATTGATTTGTAGCAACGTTTCCCTCTGAGGTAGTGGTCACCAACCCTGGTTCTGAAATCTACCTTCCCACACAGTCTAATTCCAATCAGTCGACCATGCCTGCTTCAGCTAATTAACTTCTTCAGAAGTCCGTGATTGGCTGGGTCAGATGTGTTAGTGTTAGGTAAGGGGGCAACATGTTAGATGCAAGTTGGAACTCAAATATACAGGAAAGTAGATCTCCTGTGAGAGGGCTGGTGTCCACTTGTCTAAAGACTGGACCCAAACCATGCCAACAAAGTTCCCCCCACATCATAATAGAGCCCCCACACCACCATTCTGTAGAGGTCAAGCATTCAGGCCTGTGTAGTTCTCTTGATGTACGCCACACATTCCCTCGCTCACTTGTGGAGAAGATGGTGAAAGATGACTCATCTGACCATCTCACTTTAATCCTCATCTCTGTAGACCAGCGTCTGTGCTTTTTATACCACTGAACTCTCAAATGTGTAATAACTTTGTAATAAAAGGTTTATGCGCTGCAGCATTACTATAATATCTCTCTCTACGTAGTTGTGGACAGACTGTTCTTGCTGACGCAGTCTGGTCACATCTTGCATTGACACACTTAGTCGTGACTGTTACTCTTCTGTTTTTCCTTACGTATTGCACTAAAGTATGAACATCATCATCACTGTATGTTTTCTTTTCAGCAGATCACTTTAATCACTGCTCCTATTAAAACACTAGACAGTTGAGCAGCCTTTGCGACTGAATTAAAAAATAAAGAGAAATAAAGAGAAGACCTTAGCCGCAAAAGGGCTGTGGAAAAATGAGCAAATAAAGCATTTGAACAGGGACTGGCGCAAAGCAGAAAGGCAGTGGAGGAAAACTTAACTAACTATTCACTATGAAATTCTTGAAAACTGTATTAACGTTTATAACAATGAACAGTGAACAGAGAGACAGACTTATTAATGGACACAACTCAAAAGTTTTATTTTCAATAATTGATTGCCTTTTAAATCCTAAATTAACCAATTATTATCTCACTAAGGCTTTGACATCAAAGTGTAATGATTTTGCATTATATTTTAATACAAAAATCATTAATATTCAGTCACATTTTATAACTGCAAACCTACCAGTGCTACTCATACAGACTATTTTTATTCACAGGCAAAACCCTATGAACAGAAAAATTGTCATGCAGCTAAATTCCTCCACCTGTGTTTTAGAATCTATTTCACAGACTTTGTCTAAGTGGGTTAGACATTGTAAATTGTTCTTTGGAAACAGGCAAAGACAGAGAAATGCTTAAAACAGCAGTTGTAAGAAGTTGTAAGAAGAAACATAACCTTGATTCCTCATTTTTTGACAACTACAGACCAATCTATAACCTCCCATTTTTGAGAAAAAAAAATTCTTTGAGTAAAAAAGCTTAATGATTTCCTAAATGAACGCAATATTCATTACGAAGTCTGTCTTCAGAGCCTCACAGCACTGAAACAGCCTCAGAGAAAGTAGTAAACGATCTGAGAATAAATACTGATGCAGGTGATGTCTCTATACTTATGCTTTTGGATTTAACTACTGCATTTGATACTATGGACCATAGAATGCTTCGAAATTGGCTTGAAAATTTTGTTGGTCTTTCTGTAACCATATTAAACTGGTTCTCTACATATTTAACTAGAAGACACTATGTTGTAAGGATAGGTGAGCATAATATTCTCTGTGGGGTACCACAAGGCTCTGTACTTTGTCCACTTTTATTATCTTTGTATATACTGCCACTGGGTCAGTGACTCTTTGAAAGTCACTTAGAACCTTTTCTCTTGGTATCCTCATCCAGAATCAAGGTCAACTGGAGGCATCTGCACTCTTTATGTTTCTCCACTCACTTATTCAGGTTTTTCCTTTCATTTCTCACTCATTCTATAGCATAATACCACTTTTTTTCTAATACTGATATTGAAACCTTGAATATTCGCTGTCAATATTTTGTTCTTTAAAAGAGCTACATTTAACTGAACTACTTCATTTAAGATGGCCATTTATAAGCACAATGTTCATGCTCTCACAATAAAGAGGTATCACAGTGCAAATGTGTGCAAAACACAGGTTCAAATACACAAATTACATTCTGGCATAAAAACAAGTAGCTATTTGTTATTTTTATGTTGATCTTAGGCTGCTAGACGCTCTTGGTTGTTGGATCCATGCCATCTCTAATCGTAGCTTGACGTTGCGTTTCGTCGTGTTCATTTTGTCAGCGATCTTTTCCCTCAGACCACATGACTCAACTGTGACACCTTTTTCTCCCTTGATGGTTAATGTCTCACTGATAATGGTCGACATATTGCTCCATGTACTCACTTCCATTGTAGATTGCACTAAGTAGACCGGAAAGTACACCCTTGTGGTGATTAGAGTCACTGTTTAGTGCCCTTATTTGCTATGGAGTCCCGCAGGTGACTGTAAATGGCACTTAGTACCCTCAGTGATCCTCCAATGGGATCTAATTAGACATCGTGTGATGCATTTGGGTAAAAGACAAGTTAAAAGGGGTTCAGGCATATTTGTGGTTGTATTTATTCTCTGTATGCAGTTTTGGATAAGGGCAGATAAGAGTGGTGAGCTTGTAGCAAGGCTTAGTCTATGGGCATTATAATTGTAATGCCTTTGCAGGGTTTCACTTCAATGGAAACTGTATTATTGGATAATGTTTTTCCTTGATTGACCATTCATTTTGTTTCATGTTCAAGCCCTTCATGCACCTCACCCCTCCTGAGTCCCCCTGGCTATCTTTGAGATTTACTTTCTTTCTCCAGAAGTGGTCATTTTAACTACAGCATTGATTTTTTTTCTGGGGCATCTCTTGAGCCTTTATTCTAAATGGCATGAAATGCCACAAAAAAGAACATTTTCAGAATGGATATTTCATCTAAGGTTTTGAGAGCTTCCTAATTAGTGGATTGACACAGATTGCTTTATCGGGTCACTCATGAATGGGAACAATAGCTAAGAGCAGATCAGCATTCTTAGACATTAATTGTGAGGATAATGACATAGATGATCATTAAGACGATAGCGGCTGCTATTTTGATGCTGATTGGCTTGACTCTTTTAATGCTATTCAGCTCAATAATGTCTCCACGCAAACATGCGATTAATTTTAGCTCCCTGTTTCTACCCTGTCGACTTCAGTGTCGTTAGCTGTCCATCAAACAGAGAGACGGAGAAAGAGAGTGAGGGAGAGAGAGAGAGGATGGAAAGAGCTAGAGAGGAGAGAGCATGAGCCATTTTAGTCACGAAAGAGTGAGGAAGTGATAGATCAAGGGGAAGAGAGAAAGCAGAGGAGTGACACGGAAAGACAAAGCACGTAGTGTGGGTGGACAGATGCTGGCTAGGGTCCTAACTGGGCTCTGAAGGGCCAATTTGGTGCCTGTTAACATGGCTGTCGTGTGTGACACGCCACAGGAGAGTGTCTGCCTGGTGGGAAAGTGACATAGATTAAAGACAAGCTAGTGCGTTTTAACCCTTACCAGTCACAGTTATCACTAGCGATAACAAAGGCATGGTGACATTCGATACGAATTACTTCTGACTCATAGCTCATTGAAACAAGCAGAGTAATTCTGTTAAAAATGCAGATTCTGAATCAGTTCCTCAGTAGTGTTAGTGAGTAACAGAGGAGAGAAGAAACATATTTTACGTTTCTGTCTTCTTATGAGATTGAAACAGTAAGAAAAGACAAAAACTGAAGATTTGAGCCTGTCAGTGTATGTACACACCAGAGGGGAACCCCCAGGGCCTTCCAGGCCTTCAGAGTGCTACTCTTGTTTCATTGCCCAGTTCTGGATGTAAACAAAAGGGTTCAATTCTTCAGACGGCAAGCAGAAAATTTGTCAATCAGGAACTGTGTTTAATCTAGAATGGCCCAAAAATGTTAACGCACTAACGAACTACTGGAACCCGGTACGGACGCTGGCAGAAGTTAGTATTACCATGCAAGTGTTTTTTCTTACAAAAGAAGGTTCTTCAAGGGCTCTTTAGTGAAGAAAATGGTTCTATATAGAACCATGAACACTCAAAGAACCTGTTGCATGATTAAAGGGTTCTTTGCATCATGAAAGTGTTCTTCAGACTGATGGAGAATGTGTCATTAATGGTTCTATATAGAATCATTTAGAAAAGGGTTCCATATAGCACCAAAAAAGGTTCTGCTATTGTGGCAATGTCAAGCTTGATACAATAGAAGAACCCTTTTTGGTGCTATATGGAACCCTTTTCAAAAAGGTTCTGTATAGAACCATCTGTAGCACATTCTCCATCAGTCTGCACAACGATTTCACCATGCAAAGAACCATTTAATTATGCAGATGGTTCTTTGAATGTTCATGGTTCTATATAGAACCACTTTCTTTACTAAACAACCCTGGAAGAAGCATTTTTTTAAAATGTAGTTTTGACATTTATGGCTATGTTATTTTATACATAATAAAAGCTTATACAATGTGCATTGTAATATCATAGGCTACTAGATGTTTTATTCCATAATTCCATATTATTTAGCATTTAATAACTTTGTGTTTCGCAAAGTGCTTGAAATATTAAATAGAACGTCTAACAATACGTTTTGGCAAATAGCCTTTGATATTGAAATCCACATTGTATAAGTTGCATTATGTATAAAATAACAAACACTGTTAATGTGGCATGTAGTGTAAATTGAATGTATAGCAAAATGACTGTAATAACTGTCAATATTTAAAGGTTAAAGTTAAAGCAGTCTTTTGTCTATGGCAGGAATTTTTTAAAGTCCTACAAAAATCAGTATTTTATTTACAGAAGCACACACTCACACAGTAGAGTTTAGCTTGGAGATCCATCACTATAGTTAAGATCAGTGCATTAAACTTGCCCTCAGATTTCATCCAGCTACGCTCCATGAATTCACAGTGATCTTTTATTCTCTCTCTTTCTCTTTCTCTACGTCTCTCTCTCTCAGTATCTCTGCAGGACATCACTATGAGGAAGGCGTTCCGCAGCTCCACCAATCAGGACCAGCAGCTGTTTGAACGTCAGTCCCTGCCAATGCCGCTGCAGGAGACTTTCAACCTCTGTGAACAGCCACCACCGCTCAACATCCTCACACCCTATAGGTCAGTATTGTGATATCACTACTATACCAAGAAGGTTTTGCTAAACTTCTGAAAAAAAAACATTCTCACATCATTGCTGCAAATCCTCAGATTAAAAATTTTAAAGTTTAATTTTAGATTGAGATGATTTTTCAGATGGATACCAATTTCTCATAAAGCTCATTTTTCATATTTCTGAAGACTTCTGTAGATAGTGGATTGTAGGGACGATAAGCAAAAAATCAATAAGTCAGGCCTCTACTGTTCTGGGAAGGCTTTCCACAAGATTTTGCAGTGTGTATTCGGGAATTTGTGAGGTCAGACCATTATTCCTCCTCCACCAAACTTATTGTTGGCGCTATGAATAGGTTGGCATCAGCCAAATCCAGATTCGTCTATCAGACTGCCAGATAGTGAAACGTTAATTCATCACTCCAGAGAACATGTTTCCACTGCTACGGAGTCCAGTGCTTAGCACCACTCCATCCACTGCTTGGCATTGCACATAGCAATCTTAGGCTTGTGTGCAGCTGCTCTGCCATGGAAACCCATTTCCTGAAGCTCCTGACACACAGTTCTTGTGCTGATGTTGCTTCCAGAGCCAGTTTGAAACTCTGTAGTGAGTGAGGCAACAGATGATGGGAGGATTTTTACTCATAAAATGCTTCAGCTCTCTGTGAGTTTGTGCAGTCTATCACATTGTTCTTGAGCTGTTCTTGCTGCTAGATGCTTCCATTTTACAATAATTGCAGGACAGAGATTTCAGGAACTGACTTGTGACAAAGGTGGCATCCTATCTGACGGTCACTGAGCTCTTTGCTATGACCCATTCTACTGCCAGCATTATTTTATACACCTGTTAGCAATGAGGGGTGTCCACATACTTTTGGCCATATATTGTGTAATTAAACACAAAAAATGTTGTTTCTCATGGCCTTTTCTCTGCACAGAGCAGCTAACGAGTAAAACTAGGACTGGAGTTTCAGCTAATAGTAGTAGTAGTATAACTGTGCTCAGTGCGTATGTATACAAAATGTGCAGAAAAAAAACGATAAGTTTTAATTATTGATTTTATGGATATAATCGGTCACCGTCAGTGATTTGACTGAAGCCCTAATTCATTGTGCATTGAATTCTTTGCCAGTTTGAATGTATAGAACATGATAGTCATCCAGTTCCATTATGGGTGCACTTCTGTTTATTTATTCATTTTATATTTGATCTGTTTCTTTAAACAAGTAATGTATTATCAGATATTCAATATATTTAATGCTCAATCAGCTATTGGTTGAATAACTTTTATTTTAGCCAGTGTTGTGGCTTTATGTCATACATAATGTGTGAATGCTGTTGCTGTACTGGAAATATTTCAGTGTCTGAAGAGGATATTAAAACTGCAATCTGTAATATCTGCAATGAAAAAGAGGACAAACTACACTGAAGGCTTTTGATACCTGTTACTGTAAAAAGAGCACTTTGGTTTGTAAAAAGTACCTAAGAAAACTGGCCATTCATTGATCAATGCACCCCTAATAGCTGACTCAAAAGCATAAGAATGGCCAGAAAAATCCCTACGGTCAAGAAGACAACATAACTCTATTCTGTTCCAACTGCTGACTCACATGAACCACACTGGCTGCCATGTCATTCTGAAACAGCCACTTCATTTGAACCTCAATTTTTATACCTCACTGGTTTAACAACAAACTGGACAGGCTTTAATTTTATTTAGCCATAAACAAACAAAATGAAAAAGCCAGTCAAGCAGAAGACAGCAGGAACTGTAAACTCTTTATGAGCGTAACAGGTTTGGGTATTTTTCCGTAAGTCTAAAGCTCTTAACTTGCAGTCCTGCTTGTGTAGATAAAAACAACTGGGCCTCTGGAGTGATTGGCTTTTCAATTCCATTTAATATTTCGTTTTCATGTTTAGCCATGTAAATTAGTTTTTTATGTCTTCTATGAGGTCAGTCTGTGTGGAATTTTATAAAGACCTGCAGATACACAAAAATGAATAGTCAATAGGGTCAAGTGGAAATCACAACTCTGTAATCTTCTGTATGTTTATGTGCGTAAAAACCTCACTCTCTCTTATCCAAGCGCAGGCTATCGACCCAGCCTGTCAGCCTGTGTGTCTAGATAGTGGGTGTTTGGGATCCTCCTTTCTGGATCTTGACCTTGGAGGCAGATGCAAACAAATGGACAGAACGTTACGGTTGTAAATTCAAAGCGCGTCTCAGGAGCGCATGTATAAAATCACAAACTTTCCTGAGATAAGCCAATGTAGGTCAGGGTGTGCAGGGACTGAGCTGAATCAATTGCTCTGATGTAGTTTGTTCTGCCAGAGTGGATTTTTCAAGTTACTGTTGCTCACTGCGGCAGAACGCTAAGGATTCAGAATGAATGAGCTGTAAGTCCTGTGATTAGTGGCTTTTATTTATGGTTATTAATGGTTTTGAAACAAATGCAGTTGTATGCAAACAATACAAATAACTAATGCAAATGTTAATGCACACTTACTTTATCAGTGATTGACTTAATAGTAATTGCTAATTCCTTTAGTAATTGTGGCTTGTGCAAAAGTTTGGACACCCTGCTACACTCTACCGTAAGTCAGTACTTAGTAACACTCCCTTGGGCACTTTTTGTAGCCAGCTAGGTGTCTTTCCGGTCTTGTTTTAGGAATTTTCACCATTTCTTCCTCACAGAACACTGGAAGAGTCAGAGAATTTACTAGGCTCTAGAACTGTCATCAGCTGATGATTCCTAATGACAATTCTTGACCCGCTTAACCAGTCCTAGAGTCTATTAAGGCCAAATGAGTTAATTAAGTTCTGAGACTTTACAACTTGAAGGGTGTCCAAATGTTGCACATGCCACAATTACTATTTTATGTTTCTCTTTTTTTATGTTCTTTATAGGTTAATCATATTTAGTGTAACTGTAACATATTTTATGCAGTAGTGTGGTGCAGAAATTCTGTTTACTTCTTCTCACATTAATAGATAGATAATAGATAGAATGAGTCAGATAAAAGGTACCATAGTTACCCTTATATACACATCACAGTGCTTTATAATGTACCTCTACCTTTTCTCTCTCTCTTTCTCTCCCTCCTCACATTCACTCATTACTTCAGGAAGACGACTCTAGCACCTCAAGCTGTTTTTGCTAGACGTGACAGCTGTTATGCTCTTCTTCCCTTCAGCTCAGCCTCCCTCCTCTCCTTACTACTTGTCTTCCTCTCCTGTCTTCCTCTCCTGTCTTCCTCCCCTCACTGCTGCTGATTCCTCCACAGGAGGCCTCAGCTCCTCTCTCTTTCTCCTCATGTGCCCCACTCACACTTTTCCACTTTGCAGTCCTGTTTGACTTGATTGATTTTTATTGTAAATGGATTGCACTGTGCTAGGCCATTTTGCAATATCGTATTTACGATAACAATTAGCACATGATGTATTGGACAGCCTTAAATCGATAGTTGGCAAAAGATCTAAGTTGCATAGTTTTCTTTTTACTTTAAAGGTGGTCGATCAGCCAAGTCACATTTGGTGTCTGAATTTGGCTTCCTTGCTTTTGTACTGGAGCTGTGAGGCTGCGATGGAGTTAAAGTAATGGAAACTTGTGACCACCAGTTAGCATCGCTCAGTCTGCTGTGTAGTCGTCACTGCAACGTTGATAATACATAAACTGCATGGAGTTGTTAAGTAATCTCAGATAGTATTGCTTACGTGGTTTTTATGTATGTTTGAATACCTCTGGTCAGATGACATGTTTTGTTGATTTTCTAAGTGAAGATAAGTCAACATCCTCTATAGAGGACACACCTCTGCACATTTTAATGCACTTTTACTATTTATTTGCTGAATTCAACATATTCTGGGGAAAAACAAACATAAAATGTAAAAATACATATTTTTTATATTTTTTCCAATATGTTAAACTCAAACAAATAGAAATTGTGCACTAGTTTGCAGAAAAAATGCCAAATTTGAGTTTGTTTCTTGTAGAGGATGTATTTGCTTATTTTTGCTTATTTGATTGGGGTGTTCAAACTACTGCAAATGACTGTATCTATAAAAATAGAAAAAGGCTGTCGCATATTTATACAATAATTTAGGCATGCAAGTAGGTGATGATTTAGGCATGCTGTTTGCACAGTGCTAATAGGTGGAAGTTTCCATTACTGCATAACTAAAGAAGTAAACTTTAGACACCAAACAAGTCTTGGCTGATCGATTACATTATGACTAATGTGAAAATTGTATCACTTCAATGTTCAATGGATAAATCCATCTCTCAGCTCACTTTAGTTGAGGGAGTGACACGATTTGAAAAGTATTTTATGTGAGGAGCGTTTGCAGGCATTTCAACTGCCTGTCTCATAAATGTCTCTCATCTCTCTCTCTTCCATTCTCTCTCTGCATATGGGAAATGAGGTTGACCAAGCATTTCCATTTATCCCCCTTAAATTTTGAGTGCTTTTTTTCAGTCAGATAACATTTTGACATAATCATGCAGCCATGTGAGAACAGTGAAGATCTGGAGACAGACAGTATCTAAGAATGACGCAAGATTGCAAGAAAAGATGTTCATAAACTAAAAAGACAGAAGAACTGTGAGAATATTGAAAAAGACCGGAGTCTAGGATGAGAGATGGACAGGCAGACAAACAACATAAATAAATAAATAATAGGCCACAACTTCAGAGCTGTTTTCTCCCACGCTGTCCGCCTGAACCCTGTGATGATGACTGTAGAACACTGGAACAGCCTGTTCCACCATTCTGACGGAAGAGTGATATATCTCTCTGTGTCTCTTTCTGTAGGGATGATGGGAAGGAGGCTCTAAAGTTTTACACTAACCCGTCCTACTTCTTCGACCTGTGGAGGGAGAAGATGCTGCAGGACACCGAGGACAAGAGGAAGGAGAAGAGGAAGCAGAAGGTAAGGAGTGGAAGAAGCACACACAGGAGAAGGCAGGGTCTCAGCAAGGGGTCTACCATATTTCTTTGACATGAGATGTTCATAAGACATGTAAGACATGTTCAGAATCAGTGAAAAGTAGCTACGCACATAACGAGTTTTAGCTACTCAAAATCCCAAACCTCTGAAACCAGCCTGGACAAGATATATAGCAAAAATGCCTGTGCATGAATATGGGGTTTAAAAAACGCACGTTATTCTATTCTGCAGTGAGAACTAGGAGAACATTGTACTACAATCTGGCATGCTTTTAAGTACCGGTCACTGTAGTCTCAGCCTCAGATGCTCCACCCACACGGATTGGGATTGTCTGATATCATTTGCACACAAAGTTGGGCACAACATATCAGGATTTTGTTATCAGTTGCTTTCAGATTGGCTATCCACACATTCATGTTAATGCACTTCTGTGCAGAGTTTTTATCATTCAGACAGGAAACAAAGACTGAATTCTAAAACACTGTTTTTCCAGTTAAACTCTATTCAGCAATAGCATACTGCTGCCTGCACTGGGCACTGAGCAAGATACAGGACTGTGCAAAAGTTTTAGGCACCTTTATTTAAAAAAATATATTGCTGCTGTCGGAACAAAACCTCATATCTGCATTTTCGTCATTTCTCAGTTTTTGACATAATTTGAAAATACCTGCAGTACCCTTTTTATTGTGTGTAAATTTTATGATAAATGGACCAAAAAAACTTGAATAATATATATATATATATATATATATATATATACACATAAAGCATAAATTTAAACAGTGTGCATACTTGCCTACACCTTTTGCACAGTACTGTACCGTGACAAGGTAAGCACTCCTTGGCCATGTTAGACCCTGGTACTTTTCATTCCTTGTCAGGAAGAGGCCATACTTACTTGAGCCCTGCTATATAACATGCACATAAATGTCATGGCAGATATCATATGCTGTCAGGAGTTGTTGTGGCAGATTATGTGCAGTAATAGTATAACAGTCTACATGTTTTAATGAATGCATGTTAATATGCTATATATGTTAATAATATACATATGTTGAGATATTAATATATATATGTTAATACTTTCTTCTATTACTTTATTGACTTCATTAATTATTGACAAACAACTTAGAACTTTAGATGTTATCCATTAATGAATGTATTATGTGAGTTTTTGCCAAAGACATCTAAAATAGTAATACCAAAAAATGTGTTTTTTATAAACCCCTTTAAAAAGAATGCTAAAATCGTAGGCCTCCAAATGATTTGGTAAACATTAACAAACAGCACTGGTTTTCTTGGTCATATTTTACAAGTGATAAATTAGTTGTATGTAAATTATTTTTGCAGCCTGTACTCTAAATGAAAACAATTTAGTTTATAGTAATATCTATAAATGCCCTGAAGTCATTTACAAACCTCTTTACACTAGAATAGGAGATGTTAGTCCATAAACAGCCACAATAAATACTCTTGTTTGTCAGTTATGCAATAACAGTTAATGGTTGCCTTGTAATCTATTGTCATTTTAGTTAATTTGCATGTGATATAAGCCATCATTGCATTTAACATTATGGCATTTTATGACAGTTACTGATAATGGTAACATAACACTGTTATATTACTGAACAAAATCTGTCATGACAACATAGGACATGTTTAGCCATGGTTATGTTATGTAGCCGGGTAGTAAAGCGAATGGACAAAAATTGTGCAGAACCAAAGTAGCAAACTTTAACATCAGGCTAAACAGAGCTAATCGATTACATTAGAGGGGTAAGAGGAAAATTGTGTTTGATTTGAAATTTGCCGAACTGTCGCTTCATTAAGGTTCATTATCTGCTGACTGCAGTATACTTTTTGCTTTCTGAGTGAAATATCTCTGAGCGTTTGCTGAACAAGAGCTCTCCACTGCCTCATAGACGAGATGGAGTTGTGGGGGCGTATGACTTCGGGGGGTAGTGGACTGATTGGGCTGGTGTGTGTATGTGTGTGTGTGTGTGTGTGTGTGTGCAACACAGACTAGGCTGAGTGAGTGCTGATTAGATGTTGGGGGTTATGCTGGGCTTGGCTGAATGTTTTCAGTGATTAACAGTTTTGGCTGCCCTCTCCACCTTCCCCATCATTAGAGACCACAGCAGAATGAAACCCCTTACATTGACTGCTTCTAAATTACAGACTAACACACATACATATACACACACACACACACAATGCGGACCACCCCCCAACACCAGGGGCTAATCAGAGGCTAATCAGAAGCAGATTGTGTTTCTGTGCATGAAGGCAGTCTCTCTCAGTCTTTCTGCCTTTCTCTCTCTTTCTCTATCTATCTTTCTGCCTGTACTGCCACTGTTTCTCTCCCCCTCTTGTTGGCCTGTAGCTGTATTTCAGAGAAAAGAATCTGTGTGTGTGTGTTTTTATGGTTTATGGCTTTAATAAGAGAGGGCTGGACTTCAGTGTGAGTAGACGAGACTGCTCTCTGCTCGGTAATTGAAGAGAACAATGCGATGCGAGCGTGTGAAGCGTGTAATGCATTCTTTGCGGAAGATGTCATTCCTGCTGCCCATAATGATACCCCAGCGTCGAGAGCCCTTAAACCAAGTCGCTGTCCACGGCTGTGGAGGCCAGCCTGCCCCCCTTTTCCTGAAACAAAATGGCCCCTGTCAGTCTGCTGACAAACACCAATCCCAACACTGTCATACAGCAGACAAATCTCAAGCGCTTTAAAAATGGAAGTGGAAGCCGGAGATGACAGAACAGACGATTTATTCTGGCTTGTGAGTAGTGTTATTAAGTGTGGTTGTCAAATATACTTGTAATTTTTCAAAAACTGAAAGATCCTACGCAACGGCTTGTTTCAGCATAAAGAAGGAAAAGGGGGTTCCACTCGACTACAACAGAGGTGTACAGAAAAACATTGGGCTTTACATAGAGGTGGGCAGTACAGAAGAAATGATAACACTTTACTGGAGGGTGGTGTTCATAATTATACACGACACCTACATAAGTCTTTCATGACAACCGACATAAACATATATAGTCCATTCTACCAAATTTGTTCAAACTGCAGTCTCACAGTAAAATAGCTGTTTTTAAAAAATTACTATTAAATCGAAGGCATTAATTATTGGGAGTACTATTGGAAGGCAGCTGTCCGAAACCCGAACCCTTAAATTTCAACTTGTGAAAATTATACATTCTTTTTTTTTACAAGATCTTTTGGCTTTCTTTTAAGGCAAAGTTTAAAGATTTAGATTTATCATGAGTTTAAATTTGAAATAAAAAAACTTTATTTAAAAAGTGCTGTCCCACGATTTCATGTCACCACCGAAACATGAAGAGTTTCAGGTTATAGGCAGAGACTTATTTTGAAGTAATTGTGTCCCACAGTCTAAAAATCAGTGTGTAACTTTAAGAATTATCTCCACAGAAAAACATATTTTCTGCAATTAAAACTTTTTCGTGTTTTAAATAAAAAATTTTAGAAAAATATTCTAATGTTATGTGTTTACAACTGTTCAAAACTGTGTTTGGTGGTCATGTACTGGTCATGTACTGCTCAAAATTAGCTAAAATACTGGATTGGTATTTCCAAAATAGATGACGAACATACAGTAGAATACAGTGAAATAAGCCATAAAAAATCATGTTATTTCAGTAAAATATAAATGTGAATGAAAATTGTGATTTCTGCCCAACTTAATAGCCTTACAATAAATTACTGTAATATTACAATTTTATTTTTCTCTATGGTTTTCCACATTGCTGTGGTCAGGTTTAAAATATAATGGGATAATTAATTATTCATTATTTTATATTACTTCATTGGATTAAAAAGTTTTTTTAATAATATGAATTGCCAGATGCTTGCATGGTTAATTCACAATTGTTAATGGTTAAAACACTTTATTGGTCAGTTTATTTTATTGGTTGTTTTAGCCAGTGCTTCCTTCAGGAGTGTTGTAGTACTTCAATCTGGTCTCAGTCTCGGTCCTGTCTCAGTCTTAACATCATTTTGACTTGGTCTTGTTTCGGTCTCGGGGTAAGGTGGACTCAGAAATTGTTCTCGTGACCAGACTCCACCTGATGTAATAGTAAACTGAACTTGTTTTCTATCATTATTGAATATCAAGAATACCTTCAAACACAATAAAGCCATTTCTCTACATATTTAAGTAAAATCTGTTCATGGCTTGTGGATGATCTAATTAATCCTTTCCATGATGGCTTAACTGGGTATTATTTGTTTGTTGATGTTCATTTGGTTCCAAAATTCAAACATCCCCTGAGGGCAGATCAGAATTACTATGTTTTCATTCAGTAATAAAAATGGCTGTATGTTATTTATATTCAGTTGACCTTAGGTGGTGAATAAGTTTTGGAGAAGAAGGGACAGAGAATAACCTTACCTTATCATCTGCTTCCAAAAGTTGCAATGCAATGTTGGACTAAGACTATAATATAATAATAATAATTCATAATATTTTTACACTAAAAATGTTACATTTTACAAGTTTGATTTACAGAGATAGGTATGGTATCCACCTTATTAAAAGAGCTACTTGTTATCTAGACATCTCTGTTCATAGGCCTTCTCAGAGTCAGACTGCTGATCTAGGATCACATTTACTTCAGTCCATATTAACATCAATGGATGGTAAAAAAGGAGATGTGACCCAGACACAGCACCCTAGGTAGCTGTCTCTGTCAGTTAAAATCATTTAAACGAAATTATATTAGAGTACTTTCATGGAGTCTTTGAATAAGGATTTTTAGGCCGTCATGTCATTTCATATAAACTGTTGTGGACAGTTTGGCTGTTTTGTGGTGCTTTCTCTGCCAGTTACCATGGTTCAGTTTTTCACTTACACACCTACAAATGTCATATAACATCATTACAGTAGGGCTGCGACTATTTCTATAATTGATTCATTGTATTAGTATCAACTTTGTATCAGCTGAAAATTTCTGGATCAGAT